CAGGCGAAACTGCATGTTGCCTATCTGTTAAAAAAAGCTTGAATTCTACGTCCATTAAACTCTTATTGCATTCTAATGACCTAACAATATATAGCGTATCGGCCTCGAATATCCTACATTATGTCAAGTCCTTAAAATACAATCAGAATTCATCTGAACCTGAATCATCACTGCTTTTTTAAATAGCTTAGAAACGTGTGGTTTAACCTAAAATCATTATGTCTAGCGGTTAAAACTAAATGACATTGGTATCCAGCTTATCACATGAGCAGCGGTAAACATTGTATAAGCTTATTTATGTGTTATATTACATGCATTCGAACCATACAATTGTTAGATAGAGAGCATTCAGAAGTTATTTTGTTTAAAAATAGGCTTTGGTTAGGTAGATATTTGGTCCATATTGAACAAAACATTTAATTTAGTAGACCACTAAAATCATTTAACATTTTCCTCAGTAATCTACAAATCAGTGACCGACGTTTCTAACTGAGATTATTAACCTTTTTAGTCAGTACTTTGTCAATTTCACGTACTTGCCTTTATATGTCTGAATGTCACATACTACATTTAAGTTTTTATTACTAATCCTGTAAACGGATGCTATGTAAAAAAAATTGTAACAGTTAATAAAATACATGATATTTACCGGTAACTTATTTACAACGATCAAATCCACTCCCACTATAATTGTTTAAATGTATATGAAGTGATCCAGAGTGTTTCGTGATACTGTAAGGAACGAGAACTCAAGAGGGGACAATCAACTTATAGTTCGGTGCAAAGTCACAGAATATCTTGGTAAAATATCAGAACCACACATTAAATGTTTCATTTGCAAATCCTCTATCAACTGTCTTAAATTTTATTGTTCCTCCATTGCTATTACAATTATTCACTGTTCCCGTCCTCTTCGACTCGATCTTCTCAACCTTATACTGTCAGCCATTCAACTTTTGATTGATGTTATATACTACTTATGTCTGTCGACATGAGTAGCACGCACCACGGTAATACATTAGGCTCAGTTTTTCATCCACTGAGGAGGAAAGTAATTTTCCAAACACTTCTGATTTAGTTTTATGTGAAAGTTTAACATATTCAAGTGTTTTTGGTGATGCAAGATCTGAGGAGTTATGATAAATTCACATGTTAAAGTTTACTATAAAATCAGATCATTATTTTCTAAAGGGGTAAAATTCATGAAATAGTGATAGGTAGCTGTGGTGGTTGTATGAACTAATGGTTTTTTTAGTACTTGATGGGTGCCCGATTTCGAACTTCAAATTTAATACGTTTGTTTGTGCTCACCTAGTTCTCTCTCACTTAAATTGAGTTATTTCGGGGATTCCTAATTAATATAATTATTCGAATACTTTTAAATATCACAGTAACATAAAAGAATTTAGCTCTTTATGAAGCCAGTAAAGTAAATTATATCATTTATTGATAATCTAGAATAACATGAAGCAATAGGTGAAATTGTACTCTACAAACACACTCAAATTGTTCAAAGAATAAAATTCGAAACATAAGTTTAAACTAATTTGTGTTTAATAGGCTAAGATAGTTGAACATTTCAAGTAAACATACTACTACAGAAATTAGTTACGATCGTGGCTCTGGTCATACTGATAATAATAAATATTAGAAAAGTTAAGAATAACATTAAGAGGCTCTTCTTGAAAAGTTTTTGTTATCACTGAAATAATACACTTTCAGGTAAAAAAGTGTGTCACTTTAAGAAGTGCCACATTAACCATACAGATCAGTTAAGTTCCATTATAAATACAACAATTAACAATTTCATTTAACGAGTTTGTGTAGATTACGTATCTCAACTTATATAATTTCACTTAAATGATAGTTTCTAATCCTTATATTTGTTATTTTTTCAACATCTTTGTTTACCTTTAACCGCTAGAATGATTCCAAAATAATTTAGTTTCCCATGATCAATTATTTCGAATGTAATATCATTAAATGACCTTCTATAGTTCTTATGATTAACGAGAAAGTGTAAATAAACCAGATGTAACTCATCAGATAGTATCATTACGTTTTCACGAATACAAAAATGTATATTATAGCTCAACTGAAGATTAGATATAACATGAAGGGTCGGACGCAGACGTAAAAGAGAGGATCGGCAAAGCAAGGACCGCATTCCTACATTTGAAAAACATATGGAACACAAAACAACTGTCAACCACTATCTAAGTCAGAATCTTCAATGAGAACGTCAAGACAGTTTACTGTATAGAGTCGAATCTTGGAGAACCACTACAACTATCACCAAAAATGCACAAGTATTTATAAACAATTGTCTACGTAAGATACTGAATGTCCGTTAGCCTGATACCGTCAGTAACAGCCTACTTTGGGAGAGAACATACCAACTTCCAGCTGAGGAGGAAGTTAGTCAAAGAGGAAAACATTACACTGTATTACGAGGCAAGCTCTGACTTGGAATCTTGAAGAGGAAGTCTAAAGAACACACTACGTCAGGAAATGGAAGCAGATATGAAAAGAATGAATAACAACTGGAAAGAACTGGAAAGCATTGTTACGTCCAAGTTTTGCTCGTTCCAGTTATTAAAGTACGGACTATCGATCTGCTTGCAAATTACGAACCCAAATTGACAACAGAACCAAAACTCCAATTCAGATACCAAATTTATTCGCAATTCACAAATAGTCGACCAAACGTCTTTCTAACAACAATAATTATAACAATTACAAAACAAACCTTCAATTTTGTAGGTTCCTGGAGCAAAACTACCAAATACCAAACTAACAACAAAGGGAAACCAAAATATCCGAAATAATGATATAAACAAACAAGTTCAAAAGTAAAACGAATACATCCAAACACACAGTAAATTATTATATACAATAAAAGGTTTTAATCCGTCAAATGTCTTCAGTTCTCCTGTAACAGCATTGCCCAGAACAGTGTCGGGTGGGCGGTCTATGCTCCTCTACGATGTGTAAGTGAGAGGAATAGAGATAGATTTGTTTAACTATGAAATTTAATCATAGGAATGAATTAAACTTACAGATGTGATCTATTTTCTATGGATTCATATTAGAATTATTTATGGTAAACTTTTTACCTTTCATAGGAATCACTGAATATAATAGAATTTTATTTAGTGTAAATTCATTTGTTCTAGTTTAGTATGCCTAATCATAGTGGTTTGTACATTAGAATCGATTACATCTTGATGATACAAAACAAGAGAAAGAATTAAGCTTCTGATATTTTTCTTAATAATTAAGATAATTTATCATTATACTGATTATTACATAAAAGACAGTTTCTACAGGAATTCGTAGAATCTTCAAGAAACTGTATTAGTGCACATTTTTAATTTACTTTCTTTGAAACAATCAATACTTACTGTTTACTTAATAATAAGTCTGCAATCGCTGAAAGTATGTAAAAGCTATAAATCCTATAGTAATAATAATTATCTAATCGTTATAACCGACAATTCAAATAATCAACTTATTTTAATGATAAAATGATTTTGAGTTTTCAATAAAGATAATCTAGTTGTAAAAACTATATCCGTGATATTCGCATAATTTCTAACATAATGGATATATTGAGGCAATCCACATATGATGTACATATGCCAATCAAGATTAATTAAAACTCAGTAGAAAATATCAACCACGGAATGATTCAAATTGCACTTTTAATCTGTTTATAAGTCCTGTTTAAATGGTAAACACTAGTTCATAATAAAAGAAAATGCAATTTTTTGCTTCCGTTCAAGAACTTTTTCATTCTATTGAGGTAAATTATCAACCTTAATCAACATAATTAAATTCAAATGATTTTTATTAATGTTGATTACTTGAAATTGTGAATATATAGACTTTGTAAAAGTTCTTAATGTATATTATCTAATAATTCGAGATAACTTAATAGCATGATTCATTTCACTTGTCTTAAGGCTACTAAAATCCATTCTTCCCCAAATTGTACATTTTCTAATGATAGTTATTTAGAACGTTGATAAGTAAAATAACAGAGTAAAATGAAATTAAAACTCTATATATGTTGACAACAAAATCAACCTTAGTTTTTAAACTGTCATTCCATAAATAAATTTATCCTGTATTATTCCCCCAGTTACTTATGAAATAAATAACAATAAACCTGCAATATTTTGATTATAGTGCTTATCGATTATATTTGAGTAATGTTCAATACAGCCAATCAGTTCACAATACAAAATATAATGCTTCATTGGTTTAAAAAATTTGATAAATTATGCTTCATAACATGAACACTTAGATGTCGGAAAAGCTAAACACTAGTTTCATATGTCTTTTAAGTATTAAGATTTGAATAATGCCTTTGTGAAAAGATAACAAGTGAATTAACAAATTCGGAGAAAAACTACACATACGATTTCAACATTTAAAATTCACAGCTATTAGGAAGTCGGTTTGACATAAAAATTGTTTTCTTCTCAAATAAATAATGTAGAGAAAAAATAGAGATTACCAAAATATTCCCGTATAAAAAGCCTAGTTGGTTTGAATTAATGAAACCTCAGTGAGTTTTAACCTTATAGAATCATATTAAAAATAAACTCTAGAATCCCTAGTTTATCAAAAACTGTGATGTATAGAGTGCCTAAAACAGAGTGACATGCTTTTCAAATGGAATATTTGAAGAAGAAAGGAGTTTCTCTCGAAATTTTCGATAAAAATAATCAAACGTTAATTTCTCGCTAAGTGGAAGGGTTTAATGAAAAACTAGAGTAAAAAGACGTATTGGAAAACTGCTTTCTAATCCCTGAACAAATAGATTAAAAGACTGTCCAGAACTTTATAATGATTTCGAGGATTTCTACAAGTATCACATCAGTTGGAAAAACAATAGTCTGGATGGACCTCACTACAATGTTTGTGAACACTTAAATAGTACTGAAGACACAAAAACGTATTTATAGGGACATCAAAAAAGTCAAATTACTCACCTTTGCGAACACTGATAAATGTGGATTCAGTTGCGACGATAGGAGTCCCATTTACATATTGAGTAGCAATGCATTTATACTCACCCTCATCACTTTTCTGGATGCCTCTTATATGAAAGTAGGCATCAGTGGCTATTAGATCACGATTATTAACCTCCCATTGGTAGTGTATGTAATCATTTTTGGAGCCACCGGTAGCATTACAATAGAATGCAACATTCTGCCCCTCATAGATTACCTGAATACGTTGTGAGTAAGTTTGGAGCAAAAATAATATGCATAGAAAGTTTGTTGCTCTATAGAGACCGAACATCCGTCAAACAGCCAAGTATGTGATTTATTGAATATCCAAACAGGTTCATTGTAATAAACTGTTTCGTTTTGAGTAAAATTTTGATTACAGATTTATTTATTAATCGGATCTTTATTTTCATACTTTATTAAGAATTTTCGACGTTGGATTCATTGTCATAGTTTTGTTTAAACGCACCAAATTATAAACATCAAAACGCGTGGTTTTTTAAATTTGTTGAATTACAGCGAAAATAGCAGTAAGATTCATTTGTTATCACTACCTAGGATATAGGTTTGGAAAGTATACAGTTTTATGAGTCGTGATTGTGACGGTCTGGAAACAAGTTTTCATACATAATATTGCGTTTCAAAAAAGAGAATAGGTCATACGTTTTAAAAGGCATGTGGAAGTGGCTGTACTGGCTTTTTTGAAGCAAAACTTACGACAGTTGGTCATTTTAAAACCAGTGACGTTTCACATTTGTTGGATGAGATCGATATCTTGTCTTAACTTCATAGTAAACTTGTTCACTCTCAACACGAGTTCTTGTTAAAAGTGAACCACACAACTTTAAAGTGAGTCACTAATGTTTAATTATTGTGTTCTATTGAAGCCCGCTAACCTCCGACTACAAATGTAGGCAGAGTCGTAAATGTTGTGTCCGTAGACTTTATTACAATCTAAGATATGGTCTAGCACGTGGTATTTAAATACCATTTCCTATAAATAACCGACGTGAATGTGAAAAAGCGACATTTCCCCTTTATTTCTCCTATTTTCCCCTTTATTTTCGCTTTTTTAGTTGCTTGAGTTGTAGGAACATCAGTCCTAAGTTTGTCCTCAGTAATAAGGACTGTAAGTTGGCGAACCTGTGTTAATTCTGACAGACTGCCTTCCAATAAAGGTCCAGATTTTCCTCAAAAATATTCACTGATAAGCTGATGGCACTTGCTTGGATAAGGCGTTCTAGTTATTGACTACTCGATGAGAAAAACAGGTCCTCTTTTTAGATTTATTAAATCGCGGTTTATAAACCTTCTTACCATGACCTCGGAGATTTTTAGTGCTGGAGGGAGCAAAAAGATAAGACGTATTAACAACTAAACCATAATTAAAAATACGAAATACCAGTATTAAGTCACCTTGCGTCTTCGGAAAGGTTTAAGCGTTTTAAGCGCTCATCTCAAGGGATTTTAGAAAGACCCTTCACTAATTTTGTTTCCATTGGCTGAACACGCTCAAGTGAGTTAGCATCCTTTATCAGACATAAACTAGCTGCTTGTACACAGTACTCTAAACGTAATCTTACATAGTTGGGATATAAAATTCGAAACGTTTCTTCGTCAAAACATATGCTTTCTGATATCAGAATGCTCGGAGAAGTGACCATAACTCACGATAAGCTTTGGCAGCAGCTGCGTTTCAATGCGTAGTTGTTTTCAAGTCATGACTTTTTATTACTCCTAAATCTTTATTTTCCCGAACGCTTTGAAGAGATATACCGTCAATAGTATAATGGTAACTATTACCGTGTGCATGGGCACACTCTTCCTAGAATTAACTCTTAAACCCCAACCTCGAGCCCATCTAACTAATTCATCTAAGTCAGCTTGGAGATCAAAATGTTTAAGAACTAAATACAATGCAGGAGGGCGGTAGATGAGAACGGGAAGGAACAAATCATACATTATCCACAAACTAATCGATGAGAAGTTTATTCTTTAACGTACAGCCTTTGAACCTTTACCACTTATTTTTTCATACGAGTGATCTAACCAGGATCCCAGGTTACCTTTCTTGTTGTTTGCTGACGCTATTAAGGACCATATACAATGACGGTGATAGAATCTGACCACACTTAAAATATGGAATTAAAGCACTAATCTCTTGTTTTACCGCTCGTGCATCATTAGTGTTACTTGTTGTCCGTATTATTACAAACCATTCATCTTTTTGTACTTACTACTTCAGACAGGAAAATCATATTGGCTGTTATTTTCTTATAAACCTCTATATCTTACATGTTCACCTAACGTCATTCCTTAACATGTTTTTTTATGAGACTTTGGATATTTTGTTAATGTACACTTCGCTACTCTGTGCACGCTATCTGGTCATGCTATATCATTGCAGAAGTGCCTAATTTTTCAGAAATAGTCGCCCGGTAGATGTTTATAATTCTGCATGAACCTCCTTAGTTTTGGTCAACTTAGTAACTTAAAAGACGTACTCATTCACCGGCATCTCACGGTCCACATTTTATTTCTTCAAACCGTTTCTAATTTGTGGATATAAGTCATCATGTACTCCCCTTCCAATTCCTGTCTTCATACAAGCGTATTATTTTGCAGAAGTCTCTACCTTGTTCTCTTCCACCTCCGATCGGTCAACTATTTACATAACAAGACTATATAAATAAAGCAGAAGCATGGTTCAAGATGCTAGAATTTGATGGAATCAGCTTTATGAGTAATCCTACGCTGTTTGGACCATGATTCAGATCGCAAAGTCACTTAAATACAATGCCACTGGTAAGCTGAGGTCATGAGTTAAAAAAGTGTTCTGCAAAAAAAACACCATCAAACCGACACCTCACCTAGTGGCTCCATCAGAAAATGGATCCAGCAAATATTTCTAAGCTGAAACTTGTCTTATTAATCAGCACAGATAGTTCCTAAATTCTTGCAAAGTTACTAGTTTTTATTGTAGTCAAAGGTTTCAGAAATATTTGAATGTCATGTTGACCCACTCCAAAACATTTTTCATCGGTGTGTTTCAGCAGTCAAATCAGTTATATGGTCACAGTTATTACTGACCTTACGCTATTTCAGTTTTCTGTAGTATTAATAAAAGTCTAGGCTACAGTGCAGTAAAGATTCTTATTTGCTTTATAGATATCACAAGGTGCTAATATTTTCTATCAGACTAATGGAATATGTCACTTCATATATTTATGACGGATAAGCGGCTAGATATATATACAATTCGACTGCAGCTTGTAAATTCATTTGTGATATATTCTTATTTAAAACGTTTTGCTGCAAACTGATAACCTGGATATATGGGCCTAAAAACATTACTCAGGGCAATGCATACACTTGTTTAGCATAAAGGAGTTGTAAAACTGCCTTATAAATTAATTTATTGATTATCTAGTTCATCTTAACTTACCTGTTTATGTTTAAAACACGCAATTGTTGCTTGCATCCAAATTTTGGATAACTTTTGATATATGTTGTGTACAGAGTTTAAAACAAGGTCTCCTTAATTAAGAACACAAACGGGATAGACTGTCTAATTGAACCCACATTCCATTATTTTTTTAAAAGTACGACAGATAGTTGCTAGCGTTTCTGATGGTTTTTCGCCAGTAACTCATCCAGATAGTTTTGATGCTTCGACAAACGCTAGTCGAACGCAACGTAAGATAGATGGTGGTAAACTTTATAGTCAGCTGATAATGCTGTACATGGACGAAAACTCAATATTTCTAACTTACATCCTACATCAAAATCAAGATTTTCCAAACTCTAAGCAAATTATCCACATTGTCCAATTTTCACAATGATGGCAATAAAAGGGACAAAGGCGAACTGAGAAAGTATTTAATCATGTTTGTTTTGATATTCATTATAAACCTAAAATGTCCAAAACAACACCAGCCCCAAACCACTATATATCGGGAAAGAGTTCAAGTGTTCAAGTATAATCTCGAAGATCGATTGGCTTATTTGCTAGGTCATGATCATATTCACTGGCCTACGTGACACATGTTCCAACCACCTCATTTATTGAAGATTCACTACCTCATCAATCGATTTTCCATGCTTACTTATTATCCTATTTCTCATCCAGGTATTGGTAACTCAGTGATCCCAAAATACAGAAGTAATGCATCAAAGATACCTATCATCGAATACTAGTAACCTACGTATATCCTCTGTTCTAAGTGGCCATGTTTCACATCCATAACTGATGAGCATTAAACTCGTTCTTTGGTTGGCAGATGGATATCTCTCCTACGCCACAAGTTACCCAAGTTGTCAAAAGTCGGTCGAGCCTTCTGAATCCATGCCCATATTTTGCCATCCTATTGTGTGCTAACCCGAAATTTATAAAATTAGGTTTTACTGAATTTTTTCTACTTTCTCAAAACACTATGTATTTAATAATATGATCTGATCAAAACCATCTGGTTGACCCTCATTTTTCTCATAGTAAAATCGTCAAAACTGTTTTTAGTCTACTCGTCGCCTTCCCAAGTTTTAATGGTTTGGCTAAACAATCGTTCTAGGGTTTTATACTTGATAAGGTTAGGGTGAACCTTGAGATCGCATACTTTATGTAGCATGCTGAATAGTGGTTTTATGAAATACTAATATCATTTTCGTTTAATAGTTCCTAAGAGACGTGTTTAACTTTTTTAAAACAGAAACAGTAGTAACAACTACTCTTTAGCCTTACAGTATGAATCTTTCACCTGCTTGATTTTCATGTGGATGTTCTTTCAGTTTCCCAACGTTTTATGAGAAGTTCGGTACTGATTTCCGAAACAATTACAAACCTGGGTTAAAGTTGTTTACTTAGCCTACAGATGATTATTATTTTATCTTTAAACAGATATATTGAGTAAAATGTTCCATCATAACGAATTTCAAAAGCACCATCTTCTCTTCTCAAATCACCGACAGATTTATTACATTTCGAATTTCAAACTCTTTATAGAAGATTCACCAAAACTTAAAATAAAAAATGGGTGATTAAACCTGTTTGTTTATCGATCTGATTATCCATAGGAAGTCAAACTTCAGTCAGGATTTTGTTAAAACTTACTTTTTAGGTTCTTAGTAGGATATAAAAAACTGCTTGAGCAAATTGAAACGATAAATTTTATTAGATCTGACTCATTAAAATTTTAGTCTGTGTAGGTCTCTGTAACATGGTTCTTCTATCTTTCCAGCTTCTATTATTTAGCTGATCACAGTGAAGCGTGATTACTTTGCAGTTTTTCCACCATCTTAAAATACTGAGTGTCCTTTCAGTTCTGTCATTACAATGAGGAAGAAAGAGATTATTTTCACTAAAGGGGACCCAGTGTTGTCTACAGTGAACCTACATGTTCCTTTGTCGACTTAATTTATAAATAGTAATGACGAGTTCGTGATATATATATATTAGTTTCATCAAATCCAAATGAAAGTTTTGAGGGCTTGGTCATTAAAATCACTGTACCTTTCGGTTTTACAGACAGCATTTTACTGTCTGTCTGATAGATTAATTCACTTCATATCTGACAGCCTGTTACAAAATGAATATCCAAGTCTTTTGCATTAACCTTTGAACTAAACAGATATGAAATTATCGCATGTGCCTTTTTAAGATCCAGTTTTCTCATTTTAACAATATTTATCTAAATAAGAGATGCGTACTAGGATAACATTTTAGGATCTAAATCTCATACAAATTTTCATACTTGATTCCTAAGTTTTGTGTAGAAAACGTAAACGTGCTGAAAAATAAAAATATTTAGTATATTGATAATGCACTTCATTCGTTATAGTTAATAAGTTATCGCCGTAATGAGTTTAGAATTACTAGAATATAAAGTGTCAAGTGCTAAATAGCAATATTGAGTAGGTTTTTCTTTAGGTTTTAATGAAATTTTAACAATATGAAGAAGGTTCAACGGAAATAAAATATCAGTTTTCTGTGTTTATAAATCCATTTTGTCCTTCCGAATAACTTTTATTACTTGTCTAACTGGTTACTTCTTTCTTGTTATAGATTGGGGCCTCTTATTGCACAAATGTAAAAATGATGGTAACAGATCAGACGAAGGAGCAAATTTCTACTATGTATCAAATGACAATCAGTGATTCTTGGTTACTTGCGAAACATGATATAACCATAAATTTATCAACTTTTTCTCAGTGCATGTGCCTTGGAGATATTTTTGACTCGCCTACCAATGAACTTATCGTTGCTGATTTTAGTCAATACTTCGAAAATATTCATTCTAACTTAGGAGGTTTTGAATTTAAAATCAAGATATTTAAGGGGACTAAACTCATCAATGAATTACCATACCTTGAAGCTCCTTCTGGAATTATTCCATTTAAGTGTAAAGGGAACGACAAACATTGTCTAGGTGGGTAACACTGAACTATGTTCTGATTTCTGAATATATGTTTAAGACTTTCTATATCTCGGACGGCTAAGCTCCTAAGTTTTAGTATAGAAGAATAACCTTAGCTGAATTTTCTTTCAGGAGTTAGGATGAATATTCTAAAATAATTTTAAAAACATTCTAGGAGGTTCCCTGTGTTTATAATATTCTGCTTATAGTAAAAATACCAAATACAGTATTTTTCAGTAATACAACTTAAACCTGTCTTGTTTCGTAGAGTTAACGTGATAAATTTAAGAGGAGATAACAATGAATCCGTTTTCTACTATCTTAGAAGTCATACATAACTATGTAGTGTTTACATGAATTAGGTCACCGATAAGATTATGTGGTTACCAATTAGAATAAATGGAGATAACGTAATGTGAGGGAAGTTGTTAGCGAGTTATAGATTGGATTGAAGCATATTCCGCGGAGGGTTGTGTTTGGACACGTTGATTGGCTGTTTCTCAGTCAACCAGCATTAGCGAATACTTGCAAAGGACTCTAGAATATTCTCGTGTAAAAATTATAAATATACTACAATTTTTCTTATTGGCATTCCTACTTCCATTTGAAATATGATGTTCATGTTCAAGCGTGTTCTGATTTGGGGACTTGTCGAGCGAAGTCCAATAATACTAAACAATAAAAGTATCTGGGACTTAATAAGAGATATCGTCACAGAAGTAATGAAACACGTTTGGTAACTATAATAAAGTTTGCCCGGAGATTACGTAACCCTCAAAAGTATATGAACTAAAATTGAGTGCGAAACGGATTGTTATTAGAAGTTTCACATTACAGGTAAACTCACGTTAGACAACCATTGTAAAACAGGAAACGTTTGGCAGCTATTTTATCCTGTTTTAATACTCTGAAGAAGTGTACATCCACGAACACGTAAGAATTCACGACGGTCAGATGCTGTGGTGAGCGATTGATTTTCATATCACCGAGTTGGCATCCAACGGTCTACATTTCTATCAATTTAAGAAATGTTATTCTTTTTTTCAAAATAAATTTGTGTTACTTAGTTGTTTTTATTCTTATGCTCTAAAACAATCTATTTAGAACTCAACTATACCTTAATTTATAACACTCCACAGATCACATAATCTCGGATTAGGTTATATTGTTACCTCTCTTACCCTACATTGACTATAATCATGCTAATCATGAATTTCATTGTGGGCAAACTACTACTAAGATATTTAGCAATAAATCAATAGTTCACTGTCAACTATGGGGATTGATTTCTTTTCAGAATACACTAATTCTTTTCAAAATTAACCTACAGTAGGAATTTCAGGTAAATTGTTTTTGGTTTCCATCATACGACATGAAGTAACCCAACTTTTAAAATGTTTAATGAATCAAAAATGATAATAACATCTTTTTTTGCTAAACATTCCTTTTAGATCAGTTAGTTGCATACTTTAAGAGAGGCGGCCTAACCAAAACGTGGCATCAGTGCTTGAAGTCACTAACCTCTACTCTTAGCCATGTTGGGAGATGCAGACTACTTGGTTAGGGTCCGCGTGACTATCGTAACCACTGGTTGGAGACTCTTGGTGACGTGGCTCAAAATCGATCACAATGGCGTCAGTATATACACTCTCTGTCTTCCCTTAAACTAAGAGATTAAAATCGCTTCATATCTTTCTTTCTACGAAGTAATTCTTTCTTTCTGTACTATATGCTTATTGCAATCTTTCTTTTATATATTACCACAACTGAATTAATTACTCCTATAAATCCGGTGTCCATCTTGTTGTGTCAATGAGGTATGGCAACTTGGACCAATGGATATATGTGCCTAGTCCTACGTTGTAGCTGACTGACTAACTGATACTTTAATAGATTCGAAATTTATTAATTTCAAATTCCCTAGTTTATTTAACTTTAAATTGGATATTTAGTTTGGTTGACATTGTCTCATGTAACTAACTACTTCAATGAATTCGGTGTTCATCTTGTTGTGCTAATGAGGTATGACAACTTGAACCGATGCATATATGTGCCTTGTCCTACGCTGTAGTTGATTGACTGATGTAATTAATCGCTACATATCACTTATTATTATTTTTTTAAATTTATGTCTGTCCTACTTATTATTAGTAGTTTTTCATTATTTTATTAAACTCATGTATTTTTACGTTGAAATGTATAAGATTAGCCATTGCTGCTGGACCATTTATTTATGTCTACTGTAAATTATCATCATATTATAAATACACTCTACCTTCATTGGAACCTAATTTGGATGAACTCAAACTATGGGAACAAGCTAGAGAGGTAAATATTTAAAAAAAAATAATAATTTTTCACTATTTTTCACATATATTTATGCTTTATGATCAATAAAATTTTTTGAAATGTGCAAAGGAGGTTTGATTCTATTTCTAAATTTTAAATTTCATAGTGGTCTAGCTTCAATTGAATCATGATCTCAACTATTGAAATTATTATAATATCCACAAAAACCCCTTCTGATACTGATCAGTATATGCTCACTAGTGACTGACTCCAAGAGGTTTTTCCTGGAGTTCTAGTGATAAGCAGTGACCAATGGAGTTCAACCGGGTCTGTTCTGAGATAATAAATCACTGATTACAATGGTGGATGTGTGTTATGTCTCAAAGGGACAGCCGATTATATGACAGTGACTTATCGATCGGATCAAGGATTCAGAGACTCAATAGTCTATTCTGGTCCGTTGTCCCCAACTCTGCTAACTCGATCAAAAAGGCAGCAAATGAAACTTATTCAGATGTTAGCAGATGCAAAGCTTACGTCTAATACTCAACCAAGCAGTTCTAATCCTACTGCTACTGCACCATCAGTTGATGGTATCGCTAACAGTATCTCCGAGTTTCATTACGATCCAGAATCCAATGTCACGTTTGATATGTGGTTTCGACGTTACGAAGACTTATTCAAATTCGACTTTGCTAATCAGGATGATGCTTGGAAGGTCCGCTTGCTGCTTCGAAAGTTGGGTCCTAGTGAACTAGACAGGTATTGCAACCTAATTCTGCCTCTAAACCCACGCGATCGTTCATTCTCCGACACTGTTCAGTCATTGAGCCAACAATTCGGAGACAACTCTTCACTATTCAGTGCGCGTTATCGATGCTTGAAGCTCACTATGAACGAAGACGCTGATTTTCTCACACATGTGGGTATCGTTAACCGAGAATGTGAACGTTTCCGGTTGAAGTCGCTTACTGAAGACCAATTTAAAGCACTCATTCTCATCTGCAGCCTTCAATCGCAGAAGTTCAGTGACATTAGAACACGTTTGCTAAGTCGATTGGACCAAGACCCAAAACTAACTCTTAATGATATTGCAAACGAATATCAACGTCTAATCAATCTACAGCGTGACACTACGATGGTCCAGCGTGGTGGTTCAGATCGTGCTGAAGTTCATGTAGTCCAACAACCACGCAACTCGCATAAATCTGCCCCAGCAACATCTAGTTCAGGTCAAAAGACAAAAACAAATCCTCCTGCCCCATGCTGGCACTGCGGTGCATGGCATTTTGTTCGATACTGTCCATATAAGCAACATCGGTGCAGGAAATGTAACGCGGTGGGTCATAAAGATGGTTTTTGTCAAAAAAGAAGCCAAGCAACTCCAAAGATACCAGAAAACCTACTCCTAGATCCAACACGAATTCGTTGAGTCTAATAGCAAGCTGTGAGAACTCAACCCCAGTTGATGTAACAATTCTCTCACGAAAATATTGGATCAGAATGGGAAGACCACGCATGATTCCAACAACACAAAGACCTCGAACTGCATGCGGTAATTACCTACGTTTGTTGGGACAACTAGATTGTAAAGTGTCTTTTCACGATTCGACGTTTACCGGTGTATGTTACATCACACCAGCTGATCTTAATCTACTTGGGTTAGACTGGTTTGACCAGTTATGTTTAGCCGACGTTCCTTTAAGCACCGTATGCCAAATGATGAAACAATCTCATGAAGCTGAAGCATATACGAGGAACCTAATGACGGAGTTGTCAACCAGCGAACACCATACGGCCGGCGAAGACGCAGTTATTACCTCCCTAGTGACAGAGGACCACGCACAGTGTCAGCAAGCAGCCAAGTGTAACGCGAAAGTACTGCCGGTCCCATGGCCACAGCCTGAGTATCCCTGGTCCAGGATACATGTCGATTTCGCAGGCCCAATTAATGGAATCACCTATCTAGTCGTTGTTGACGCCTTTTCGAAGTGGCCAGAAATTGTTCCCGTCACGCCACCAACGACAACCCAAACGATGCAACTTTTGACAGAGATGTTCTCTCGCAACGGATTACCGGATATAATCGTTTCCGATAATGGTTCGCAATTCACCTCAAGTCAATTTCAAGAATTTTGCAAACGCCTATCGATCAAGCATTTCCGCTCTCCACCTTACCACACACAGTCAAATGGCCAGGCAGAAAGATTTGTGGATACATTCAAGAGAGCCCTAATGAAGTCGAAAGGGGAGGGGACGCCAGTAGAAACACTGCAGAATTTCTTGTTTGTTTACCGAACAACACCTAGTGATATGCTACCACAGCAGAAGTCCCCGGCAGAGATCCTGATGGGAAGGAAATTGAGGACGATCCATAGTCTGATGTGCCCAAGAACCACACCACCACCATCTCAGACCAAATCTCAGAAGCTTCCAGCCTATGAGGTCAGATGCCCGGTGTTTGCTCGAGACTACAGAGCAAATCATGGTCCTTGGATCGAAGCACGTGTGGTCGGAAGACTAGGCCAAGTTATGTACGAGGTGAAGGTGGGAAGAGACACGTGGACTAGACACCGAAATCAACTACGTAGCGGATAGCCTCGGACCGCCCATCAAAAGGAGAAAATCTTCCCCTTGACATCTTGCTTGATACTTTCAACTTACCGGCAACCCTACCACAAGAAAAACCCCAACAACAAGCTGAAACACGTCCCAGACGGTGGCCTATAAGAGAACGGCGAGCTACAGTCAAGATGCAGGTTGACCCCAGGAAGGCCCGCTATTAAAAAGGGGAGGAGTGTTGGGGACGATAGATCCCCAAAACTCAAATTTTTGTAATTTACTTATCGATTAAATGTGCAGATAGGTCAATTGATGAACTATCGATTAAATGTACAAATAGGTCAATTGATGAACTATCGATTAAATGTTCAAATAGCAGTCAATTGTTGATTAATGTTCAAAAATCTTCCATGACAATATCGATTGTAAATATTTGTATAAATACGCTTGATTTGTGTGCTTGACTTGACTTGTTATCTGCTGTTTGTCTGTAGAATACACTTTCTACACCTTACCCAGACTTTTGATCGAGTTAGCAGAGTTGGGGACAACGGACCAGAATAGACTATTGAGTCTCTGAATCCTTGATCCGATCGATAAGTCACTGTCATATAATCGGCGCGCCCTTTGAGGCATAACAATTGGCGACGGGGTAAAAAAAAGAACAATCCAAAGTCAGCCTTCAGCATCCAGATTTGTCATCAGTGTCCTTCAGCAACATTGGTCATTAATCAAACAGTAATTTTCATTACCGGTGCTGAATAAAAAAAATGACTCTCCCTTCCGATCGAGTACAGCTGCTATTTGAAAGACAGTTGGAGTTTTTAGTCAAATTACGCACGCAGCTGTTAAATCACTCATGCTTTGGAGATGCAACGGAAGTGGATGGATTGATCTCTCAACTGCACACAGAGCTGGAAAATGATTGCAGCCCCAATGAATCCCCGATAAACCGTATTTCAAACGGTACAACAGTCACTCAAGATTCGCCCAGTGGTCCAGTCCTCTCCATTCCAGAAACATGCCCGGTAATGGACTCAAACTCCATTATCCCCAAAACAGCATGTGCAGACGGTGACTTATCCAGCTCACAAACACACTCCCTGGTAAATGCTCATAGAATTGTCGCAATAACCACCCATGAAACAGAAAACAAATCGAGCAGTACACTGAATACAACTGCTTCAAATGGTTCTCATCAGTCTGCGACAGATGTTTTTGACAAATCTTATTATCAAGATTCTCTTTTACCAGAAAATATGTCAGATGCATCAAATGATGATCAAAAACTTAATACAATTTTGATAGATGCTAATTACCTTGATGATTCATTATCTACAAATAAGATTCCAAATAAATTTGGTCACAATATTTCAGAAGAATTAAACTTCGAACACCTCATATCAAGTGTCGTTCAGCCTCAAGACTTAGTCACTTTCAGTCAATTCTCTGTTCAGTGCGATAAATATGTCTTAAATAAATTCAAGTTAATTATAACGTGGGCATATGAGGATCCAACACTGTTTCGTGGGGGAGGATGGACCTGGAAAACTTAAAATCCGGATATCAACTCCGGATCTTCTAAAAAGGGGAGGCAATTGTTATGTCTCAAAGGGACAGCCGATTATATGACAGTGACTTATCGATCGGATCAAGGATTCAGAGACTCAATAGTCTATTCTGGTCCGTTGTCCCCAACTCTGCTAACTCGATCAAAAAGTCTGGGTAAGGTGTAGAAAGTGTATTCTACAGACAAACAGCAGATAACAAGTCAAGTCAAGCACACAAATCAAGCGTATTTATACAAATATTTACAATCGATATTGTCATGGAAGATTTTTGAACATTAATCGACAATTGACTGCTATTTGAACATTTAATCGATAGTTCATCAATTGACCTATTTGTACATTTAATCGATAGTTCATCAATTGACCTATCTGCACATTTAATCGATAAGTAAATTACAAAAATTTGAGTTTTGGGGATCTATCGTCCCCAACAATGTGTCACTCGATTTCGTAGATTTGTTGAAGTTAGACATTAACACGTTTGGATGCCGGCCGGCTCATTGGTCTAGAAACTAAGCGTTCGCACACGAAACCGACAGGTTCTGGGTTCGAATCTTACGAGGCGGGATCGTGGATGCGCACTACTAAGGAGTTCCACAATAGGATAAAATGGACGTCCAGTGGTTCCAGGCTTTTCATGGTGATCTAGCTTCAATCGACTCATGATCTCAACTATCGAAATTATTAAATTTCATATGATTGTTATATTTTATACAATAAATTATGTCCAGCATTATTTTGTATAGAATATTGAACTAATAAGTTTTTCTAACTAAATAACTATGAACACTTCACTTCTACCTGAAGTTCGTGTTGATAATATCGTTCAGAATAATGTTGAAAACTCTATAACAAAACCATCCACCTGAGCTACAAATCTTCACCATCTCACATTTATGTAATATAAAACATCTACCTTTATTTTATGCCGGTTGTTCTATTTTAAATTTCGGAGTTCATAAGTGAAAATGTTTCTGAGTATTATAAATAACAGAGTCATCAACTAACAAATTGTAAGATCAATCAATGAGATCTCGAAACAGTGAACCTTTTAGATGTTACTAAAGAATTGAAAACATTTTATTTGTAATTTGGTTGAAAGATTTGATTTCAGATGGATATTGTTACTTTATCTCTTAAATAAGTATTTTTTTACTCTCATTGGCTTACTACTTTCTAGGTGAGGATTTATATAACTGGCAAATTAGTTAGTTCAAATAAGTCTTGTCTGAGTAACTTACAAATTTTCCACCTCACTTTTCATATAGCTACTTTGTGAAATCATTTATTGTTTAACAATGAATTTCCTATTGTTTACAGGGTAATTTGACACCAGATGAATTACGTGAAAAACTTAAGCAAATTGGGTATGTTCTTATAATTTTTCCTTATATTTAATGTTAGATACTTGAATGAAATTAAGTAAATAATTGTGGTAATTAGTTTGATGTAATGCAATATATTTACAGGTACATGTTAGTGTAGTCGGTATTTTTTATTCGAGATTTTTTTTATACTACCAGGTTGCCCAAACCAAAATAGAAGAGTCAGGATTCAAGCCTACTCCCTAATTTGTCAAAGTTGAATGATGCAACCATTAAGTCACCACTTTACAACTACTTGTGGTATCACTTTCAAACACCAATGGTTTATTAACGTGACTTAACTAAATGAAAATGACTACTCACAATTTGACAGACTTCACAAATTCTTTGAGTTCTCCGTGAATAATATTGATGTTTTACAAATTGCCGGATTTATAATGTCTTCAAGGGATCTCAAAACTAATTAACCCTGCTATCCATTTATCACGCTAAACTAATTTCACAGGACTAATTTCTAAGTAAAGTTGAAAATAGTGTGAGTACTGGAACTACAGTTCTGAAGATTTTCTTTTGAGCAATTAAAAAACGTTTCAATGGATGCTATTTCGGAGAAGTGAGTTTTCAGAACCTGAAGGTGACTGTGTCACATCTAGATATAGTAGGATAGTCTTATCTAGCCTTTTACTCATTTAAAAACGAAGATGAATAGCATTTGTAGTAATGAAAAACATAGTTAAAAATGGACTTCATTTACAGTAAAGATAATACCATAATCAGCTGATTTACATCCTCATTTTTAAATTTAGCAACGTATGTTATGGTCTTAGTGAAGCATGACAAACTTAATGCTCGTTTGATGAACCATCTAAAAAGGTTACTCTATGGGCTTGGGATCTAATGAATATAATATTCAATCAATATCAATATTAAATGTTTTATTATTTCAGATTTTGAAAAAAAATTATTGTGATTGAATTTGTTTAAAAAAAGTAATCTTTTATTTATTTTTTTGTTTTTCTTTTAAACTCAAGATCTGAAATGCATAAGCTAACTCCAAGATCTATACGGTATCTGCAATTACCCGGCGACTTATTACACGAATTTTTCAACACTTATCGAATGATTCCACTTCAAAAGCAAGTAGGAGAAGCTATCTTTTATGCAATCATTTTCCATGTTTTATATTGTTATATTCAGTATTTGTGATTGAGATGTTTCCGTATTGTATTACTTATTAATTTAGCATTTCTGAACTTATTTCTGCAGACTGTAGCAACGTGTTTGACTAAAATGAGTAAACAACACAGTGGACCTAATTCCTGGGACTGTTTAATCGTTGGCACAGAATCTTGTTTTGTTTATATTTACGATTGTGTATCACACAATAATTTATGTGAGGTAAGTAAATTTCATCATATTTTTTAACATGTTGATTTTAACAATTTGATTGATGTTTTACTAATCCATTTTATGAGTTAAAAAGCAGTTAAAAAAGCACCACGAATCAGAAAGAATTAGACCTATTGAAGTTAAGCATGTTTCGGTAGATATGAAGAACAAACATTTCACTTATTTCACTGTACGCCTTGCTCTTAAAAACTTTTACTCATTTACTCTGGTTTACTTTGTAGAAGAAATCTGATAAAAGCATAACATTATAAAATTTTGTTGCCTGAAATTCATATTCCTTAGTTAACTAGTTCAGTATGAATACACTTGTTAAGTAAAATTTATACGACAGTGTTGATCATAAGAGATGTTTTCGGATTAATATAATAAACCTTTTCTGTTATTGTAATAGAGATGTAATATGGAGATTATAACAAGTTTATTATATCACATAATTTATTATGGGCTACAAGCTACTTAAAATATAAAAAGATTTAAAATATAACTTTCACAATGGCTTAAAATCTACTAGAAAACTACTGAAAATCAAAGATTAGGTAGCTAGTTTCCTATCATCTTTGATAACCGATAACTTTAAATGTACATTTCAAGTTTCAATAAAGTTATGATATATCGAGATCATAGTTTAGTATTATACTTATAATGCTAAACAAAAGCTAAGCTTAGTAAATGAACATCTGAACACTACATGTTATAAACAAACTATTGTTTAAAACTAATTATTCAAATATTTGCCTTTATTTGCTCGTTGTACTTAATTACAAAGCTCACGGGTCTTAATATCGTCCCTGTTCAACGACAAAACCTATATTTCGATTATAATACAAATTAACATATTTAGCTTGTATTTGGCTGAAAAAAAGTGACATTAACACCCATGGATGCCGGTTTATTGGTTTAGATGTTAAGCGTTCGTGTGTGAAACCGATAAATCCTAAGTTCAAGTCCCACGACGGGGATCGTGGATGCGCGCTGCTGAGGAGTCCTATACTAGGACGAAACGGTCGTCCAATGATTCCAGGTTTTCCATGGTGGTTTTGCCTCAAATGACTCATGAATCCAACTATTAAGATAAATAATATACAATTTTTCCTATTGATAAATAATAATAGAACAAAAATAACGGACGTAACGGGATAACGTGGACTCATTTATTTATTGGCTTTAACTGTTTCTAATCTAAAATTAATAATCCTCATTATTTTCGCAAGAAAAAACCAGTGTATATAAATAATATTGTCACGGTTCGACTTGATAATTTCAAATAAGTTAAGCTTTGAATGGATTGTTAATCTTACTGTGACTGAGCTATGAGTATCATGATTTGGCTTTGAATTATGTAACATTAAACAAATGGTTAATAAAACTAGGGTTTGATATAATGAGGAATTTTTAAACAATTATAATATGTAGTCATAAACAAAAAATGTTATAAGAGTGCAGTATGGAAACTGGAATTATTAGAGCAATGCAAAAGTGACAACAATATTCCTTTAAAATATATAAATTCAGTTTACGGCTTTGATAGTAAGGACTTCTACAAAACCTCATTAGTTTTAAATGGTTTGTTTCTTGATAACTTTGGATAATTGTAAATCTGACAATCGTGTCCACAATCAAGTAGATAACGGACGATCACTCTACTAACGACATTTTAATCTCTTAGTCTCAATTTTTAAAGAATGTCCTCGGACATAAAAACATCAACTCTCCTTTCTACTTTTTAAATATATGCACTCTGGCATGTGTGGTTAATATTTTGAGTCTGGAAGTGGATAAAACACACATTGAGGAAATTATCATACTGCATCACGAAGCATCTGATAACTTGCAATCCTGAAGGGAAACGTAAAAGCGGAAGGCTAAAGAACACACTGAACCAAGAATTGGAAGCAGAAATGAAAAGGATCAATAACAACTGGGAAGAACTGGAAAGGATTACCCAGGACAGATTTGGATGGAGAATGATATTGAGCGATCTATTCTCCTTCATAAGAGGTAACAGGTGTAAGTAAGTAAGCAAGCTCTGGCACGTACATGCAAATTCAAATGCACGATCATCAATTTGTCTAATGTGTTGAAACGAGTTTTTTTCTGTGCTGGATAACTCATTTTTAATTCAGTCATTAGTCTAAAATCAATCTTCTCAGATGTTTTCGTTATCTGTACATCAAATTCTTCTTGATTTAATGAAATCAATGAATACATTGCAATTAATATAAAATTTCGAATCGGTTCATTTTTGCCATACTGAACTTACTGAACTGATAAAAATAAATAAAGCGCATTAGATGTGTTGAATAATTTTTGGATGGAAATTTTTCTATGGGTTTTCTTATTCATTATCAACTGTTTCAGTAACATGATAGTTATCTTTTGTGTAGCCACATTGAAAATGACGGTTATATGTTCTACATAAATATACATATATAATCATACTACTGCATTCAAATCTGATCTTGAAACGGTTTAGTTTGATAACTTCTCTTATCAATATTCTCGACTAAAATAATATCTATATCGTGCGATTCTATAAAATGTCATCATACAAAAAAGAAACGTTTCTTCTCTGAAGCCTCATTATTCCTGAAGTATTATTATAAACAACAACAAAATAACCTAGGAAGCCTTTAATTATATATATCGTCTTTATTTTATATATCTTAGGTTGAGTTACCATCTGTCCCAGTTCATTTAAACGCAATAGGATCCTTCGATATTGACTATCATATTTTAGTGACATGTCGTAATGGAATAATTTACTCCATAAAACGGTAAATAATTTTTACAACATTTATGTTTCTGTTGTTGTAAAGATTTTAGTTTATTGCAAGCGTAAATGAAATTCAAAGCCATAGGAACCATGAAATTGTCACTTATTGTTATTCACTCTGTCATTACACAAATTTACTTGTTAAAACAGGCTTATTTTTTTAAGACATAGGTAAAAATAATATTAACTCATTCAATAAAACGAACTTCGAGTTAAATAAAATAACGGAACTCAAAATCCAAACTAATCAAGTTATTGCTTACTTTTTACAACCAGTGATGATTAATCGGAGATATGAGTTCGAAGAGTGTATATGTCATTATCAGGAACTATAATTCTTTTAAGACTATTACTGTTTAAACTGGATGCAGATATGCCAATAATATACGAAATATTAATCGACCAAGTTAAGGTACTATTCTTTTTTATAAACAACTGAGTAATAGACTTAGTGGATGGTTATGAACATTCATTTTATTCTTGTTTCAACTAACTACCACCGAGTTGTCGGCAGCATTCATGGAAAAAAGCTGTTACAAATTGAGTATGATTTCCAATATGTCGCCGTTTGTCCTTTTCGAATATTTAATTTCAAATCAATTTATTGCAGCTGTGTTATGCATAAAGAGATTATAGTCAACTATAGTCATTCAGACCAGTCCCATTCACTGATTATTTCAGTCATCTACTGAGTTACCAAGTCCGGATAGCCTATAACTTATATGAAGGTATTGTTAAAATTTTATGACTTCATCAAAGTAATGGATAACTCATTGGAATTCTAGGTGAAAAGCACTGCAATTTAGTCTCAGTGTGAACAATACTGAGATGTAGGTACATCCAATTGACAACTCCCGGATATGACGGGATCCGCACCCTGGATTACACTGTTAGCCACACACCAAATATATTAGAAACTCTTGGTTCACTTCACTGGATTATAGAACTCAACCAAAATCTCTACACTTTTTGGACTGTTTAAAAGTATGAAAACGAATCTCTCAAAACTGTTTACTAGACTTATTTCTGAATTTTTAAACAACATCCAACCCTAAACTTTAAGAGTTGTCGATAATACCAAACAAATAGATCAAGTCGAACAAAATGTAATCTGAAATCATGAAATCCAATGAAAACTTGAACTATCCTGTGACATGATTTAACCCTAATTAGTGTTGCTCATTTTGTAACTTAGCTTTGCCACAACATCTCGTCTACTAGTGGTATTACTTGTATGTCAAAATTACTTTATTTACTAGTAATCGGGTTTTTACATGAATATATTGTTCCTTTTACCTAGGTATCTCTCCCTCGGGTCTCGATAAAGTAGTTTACACCTTCATATCTTTTACTGCTGACACAGCTACTAGTATTTTATTTCTGTTTTTATTCTTCAAGTGGAGAAGCCAACGCTAAGGTTTATGTTGAAACTGGGTCACAGATTATCGGTTTACTTCGTACAGAAAAAGCTGTTATAGTTGCTTGTATGGATCAAACAGTTAAAGGATTTTCACTGGAGGTAAATAACTAGAATGAATCAGTAGCGCCTTATACTATTTAATAAATGTTTACAAAATATCTGTGTATTGTCATTTAAAGTTTTAACGTTTGATGTTACCATGCCCATCATTTCACGCCGACTATTATCGAGCTAAATGAACTGGAATCGAGGAAAATGGTTTTTTTATTTTCTCAAGATTTAAATGACAGTATTTCAATGAATTTTGTGATTCAACTCCAGACAACTGTGGTCGAGTTAAACACATACCAGGATCCTCAAAAAAAAATTGAAATTGAAATTCCCGACACTCATTATCTTTAATACTGTAGTCACAGGATTTGAGGCATTCTTATAAGTGGATTTTTAAAAAGTCGAGTTTCATGACACCACAAATATTATTCATCATCAGATGAGCCACCTGTAATACTACATCTAGTCAACTGTACATTCGTATATCATTTTTTTGATAGATCAGTCAGTATTCAGTTATCTCATAGATTGAAGTTTGTAAATTTCTAGTGCTTCCTGTAATATTACTTCAATTTAAGCAAAATGTATCGTTCGTTTTCGGGATTTCTAAGCATAACTTATGCTCTAGGTTAGAGTTCTGCATGGATTTTTTCAATTGAATTTCTTGATAATTTGTTTGGAGAAACTCAGTTTGAGGAAGAAATAAAGACAACTTAGTGAATAAAGTTCTTTTCCATAATCTTATTCACTTTAACTGTACAACAATATTTATAGTTAATTGCATTGCTTGAAGTAATGATCTTTGGTAAGAAAAAAAGAGAGGTGTTGTGTCATTTTAAAAATTGGTGCAAATTGATATAATTTATGAACAATCTTCTTAAACTAATCAAAAGACCATAGACGACCACTTGCACATCACCTTTTCTGAACTGTTCAGTTATTCTATTTAACACACAAGATAACCTTGCTAACTTTGGAATGACAAATAAATTGGTTATATTAAATAAAATATTGTACCTTTGAAAATTTCTTCCACACACACACACTAACTCACGTATCAGTCATGTTTCATTACCCACTAACGAAATCTTTGCTACATATTTTATTTAAGAAATCTCTTATTCACTTCCTCTTCCTCTAAGAAAATGCCTATGTGACAGTAATGTACTATCTGACTTTGTTATAGAACTTAGAAATTTAAGTGAAATAAAGCAACTGCAAGTCATTGGGCTGCCACCCTTATTATTCTTATTTGAAAGAATTCAGTTTCAGATTTAATCTTAAGTTGATCCAGTGTTTATTATAGATAATTTAGGAATTAACCGTTCTTTCTTTTTGTTACTATTCAATCTATTTTTACACGATTTTCTAGGGTCGACCAATTTGGAGAGTAAGACATTCGTGCGAAATTTTAACAATAACTCCAATTAATTTTAATAGTTCAAACAATAGAAATCATGAAATTTATTATATCATTTGTTTATCAGATGGTTCAGTCCAGATCTACTGTGATCAACATTTATGTGACAAATGCATTATATGGGTTCCTTCTACTCAGAATACTAGCGCTGAGGATAATAATAGTAATCCTTCAAACAATATTACATCTGGTAATTCAGGTACTATAAAGGTGACAGAAACTGAACAGAACAACAATCAACCACGTAAACTGATTGGTTATCACTTAGCGAAACCTGATCCAATTGTTGCCTGCTGTTTTGGGAAGTATGACAGAGAAATCAATACACTAATACTAGTATCTCAAGGTTTGTCGATCATTTTCAAAGATAAACTCCACTGTTTGTACATTTTACTATTCAATTAATTAGTTGAAAATTTTAGAATTCACATTTTTCTATCAATATAAATGTTCATAACTTATCAGTTTCACTGAAATCATGAATCGATCTAAGTTAGACCATCTTTGAAACACTTTCCACAACCCCCTTACTGACATGTATCAAAAAGCTATAACTTGAAATTTGAGGCTAACATAAACCTTAAAGTGTCAAGTTTATAAATAGTATTCATTGACATTAAAATAATAATGTAACGCAAGTTCATATAATTTGTTAACTGCTGCCACTGAAACAGTGAAATTGTATTGATGATATTTGCTTTCAAATTATATTTCTTACAACTTGAAACTAAGTTTCGGAGAATGATAACATTTGATTAACTTTCAGATAATTTTCCATGCTGCACTATCATGCTGATGATGTTTACTGTCAACTAATTGAAATTATACTGAAAATTCTGTGATCGAGGTTACCAAACACAATTCTTAAGACATATTCATTTTTTGCAGTTTCCTCTCACTATTTATACAGTCTAATTACATTAATGAAACGTTTTTACAGGCTACATCGAAAATACTCTCCTTCTACTGGTTAATTATTACTATATTAAATAAATCTCTTGATGTAAATGATTACTAATGGGGAAAATTTACTTATATACATTGAAGTATTTCAAAGCCTTATCTATAATACAGGTTCCACCTTATTATTATTATTACTATTATTATTATCTGAACACATAAACATTGGTACAAGGAGGCACCAAATAGATATGCGCCACGCAAGTCACTTGATTTGTGAGTGAGCTGTGATACTGCCTGGGTGCTCAGACCGAAGTAAACAGGTTCTACCGACCTGTAACCAAATCATTTTGTATTGGTTATTTGGATCTTCTCATCGATGTTTCGAACTGCAATTGGTCCATCTCTTATTGGTATATGTGCATCCCGTGTAAATTGCTCCTATATTGCCTTAAATCACAAGCATTATAGGCTGAGATGATAGTGGCTAGCAGTAGAATCCAGTTGAGATGGCTGGGACATGTGTTACGTATGCCCAACCACCTACTGCTTCGACGTGCGATGTTCAATGGTATAGAAGTAGGTTGGAAGAAAGCTAAAGGCGGTCAGAACAAAACATGGCACAAGTCCATGAAGTTACTGACAAGTGGACTGAGCCATGTTGGTAGGTGTAGACTACCTGGTTGGGGACCACGAGATGGTAGTAACTGATGGTTAGAGGCCCTGAATGACATGGCTCAAAATCGTTTGCAATGGCGCAGGTTCATCCACTCTTTGTGTTCTCCCAAATTCTAATCTCTTGAACACTACTCCTCTCGTCTATTTCTCTTTCCAAATTTATTTCACTGGATTATACTCTTTAAATAACATCTTCGAACCCTAATGTTTCCGATTACTGCTTATACTCTTATCGCCTCTACCACTTTGGGATTTGAATCGAAAACTGCATCTTTGTGCTAAGATGGTGTGGCGACTCGAACTGATGTACGTACGTATGAAGTTCTACGTTTTTACTGACTGACTAACTGACTGAGAATCCAGGACGCGCGTTTCGAAGAGTGCAGTACCGGTTTAAAGTCCTGGAATGAAAGTCAACCCTGAGATGGAAGTATATCCAGCTGACGAGCCCCAAATAGGATGAAACGTGCGTCCTGGACTCCATTGCTAGTCATCATATACCTATGCTTAGAATACCTGTAACTAACTTATGGATAAATTTTTTAATTGCAACGTGAAACTGAAGTTATTTATTTATTCATTTTTTCGTTTAGCTGGGCACATGTTAATCTTAATTGCTAAACGTACAGCTAATTTTATTCCGATGGATGTGATTACCTCTCGTACAATCGGTAAACTTGATAATTTGAATATCCCTAAAAAGTCAAATTTGTATATGGATTTAACAACCCGTGAACAATTAAATGCACCACGTGAGTATTCTCGTTTTTTAATGGTAATTAATAAAACAAAAAGAACAAGATTCACAGAATTAAATGAATTCATCAAATTTTAGAGGTTCTGATCAGCTGGAAACAATCTAGATTTACATCACTAATGTTATTACAAAATCACTTATCATATACTTTAATCAATGAAGTTTTGCTTGAAATGACTTAAGAAACAAGAGGAAACACATGTTTAAAATAGTAGTTAATATTGTTCAATTGATATTCATATACTGAGAATGAAGTCATAAAAAAGAGGAGGTGAAGTTACAAGTGATCATGAAGAGACAATGAATAGAAACAAATTGTTTCCAAATGAGTAGTAACCAAAATACCTATTTAACATAACATTGAGATTAACGTCTTTAGTGATTGTCGGTGAAATTGTTGATGTTTATTTAGAAACCATATTAAAGCGATAATGTAAGTGATAAGGATTAAAATAATGTAACTATTTTACCATGGCAACGATAGGTTTACAACACCTTCTTTATACAAACATCATGTTGAAAGCTCTTGATGTCTGCAAAACGGAGTAAAAAAGACATACATTGTCTGTGAATTATTTTGAATGCTTCTGAAAAATCCACCTTGTGTTTCCTCTATCCATTAAAATCATTTAATGTTTGCGAAAACTTCACTTCCTTTTAGTCACATCTGACGCGGAATATGTTCCAAAAACCCTGTAGACGCCCTTCGTTATGGTATTGCTTATATAAATTTAAGCTGTTTGCAGCTGGTGAGAAGCCTTTTCATATTGTGAATTCATGTTATTCTGTAAATTTTGTTCTTGCTTTATTTTAATTTATCAAGAGATCAGGATTTTAGGAATGGAATTATTACTTAGTATTTTTTCTGTGTATATGTCTATAATAAATAACTCGATTAGCTTAGCTATTTGTGAAGTATTAATGTGATGCAGATATGAAATAACGAAATTTCTTATTTCCGGGAAAGATATAAATGAAGTGAACTTTTGCTGCTGTATTGTACAATACTCAAGATTATTTGCTGTGTTTAAATAAACATGTACGGCTTATGAATATTAAGAAGAAAAATGTTAATATCAGTTATAGTAATCTTTGTATTTCAGAGAAAACATTTACCCTTTTTGGCAGCTTTAAATTATTATTAACGACACTTAACAGAAAAAGTACTTCCCAGTAATAATTAATAGTAATTAAATTAAATTAATTTTTTAGAGAATGACGGCACTTAACTCTTTATCAACTTTGACCCGGTGTAGTTGTAGTGAACAGAACACGATTGAGGACAGTCGAATGTGTTTAACATAAAATTACAGGACTTGTTAAAAATCTAACAATCATAAAGTAAATACTTTATTTGCAAAATGTCCATCAATTGCCTCAAAATGACTCAGACTTCATTGTTCTTGCATTTTCACACAAATTGCATCCTGTTTCCATTCTTACTGTTCGATCCTCTCGTCTCTTTGTTGCCAAACCTTCTGTTCACGACTAACATCATATACTACTTATGTCAATATTATAAGTAGCACACACCACATAGTGAGGCAAGCTAGTATTCTTCTTTTTATTGTTCATCATACTGATGATTATTGTTTCCCATCAAATTCCCCAGTGTTTATTCAATTGTTCCTCATCAAAATATTTCAGATTTTACTCTTTCTATGTATTTAAATAATTTATTAAAATACGTAGATATTTTAACTAAAGTTCTGTTGTGTTTTGTTCGAGTTTCTCTTTATAACTTCTAAACATTAGTTTACTCTGGAAAAACGTAGTATATGAATATATATTGCAGGTATAATGGACGCTACTGACAACATTGCTTCTAAGTAGTATGCATTGGAATTTGCAACGATCGTCAGACGGAGAGAAGAACGTTTAGCAAAGCTTGACGTAGCTAAAACACTTGGAGATCAAACAAGAAGACGGTTCACATTGCAAAACACACCAAAAGATGAAAATAGATGTTTGAAGGCTATGTATATGTATTATGTAAATTCTTCGTAACTTCTCATGATCATTATAGATTCATTCAGCTTATTGCCTACTGTTACTCATGGGGTTTAAATAAGAGTTAAATGCTCTGTAAATACATTGAAACATTAAATTAGTGACAATGATTAAACAATTAACGACGGTGTCGTATTTGTTACAGTATTTTTCATGTATTTTGTTTTCCTCTTCGATTTCTTTCCAATTTTCAGGTGCTAAATATAATAACCTGTAACATTACCTAAATGTACTTCTGTTTGCTGATATAATTTTCTAAGGATAAGTTATTATAGACTGATTAGTTATATGGTTAACCTACATATCTTCAGACTAGATGACTGATAATGTTTGTTCATTATTAACGGAGTTGTGTGCGATACATTATGTTTTATGTCGAATTTTTATGTTAATTTTTTTTCCAGAAATGTATCGTCAATTTGTGAATGATTTACGCTTTGTAAAGCGATCAATTTCATCCACCTTTCTTAATATGTTAGAAAATCATTCTAATCCCATTCCGATTTCTGGTTATGGTGAACAAATTAAATTAAATGTCCAGGTAAGTTTCTTCACTATTGAATTGTGTCCTCTAATAAACTTCTAAAAGGAATCGTACTTTGATTATAGCCTAATACATCAAAAGCATTCCTCAAGTATACATATCTTTATAATGTTATTGTTAATTCGAATCATTCTGTAAGACATATTATTTTGTAGTTGGGTTATTGACGCTATCATGAGTAGCAGCTTCTCTGTTAGTACACACCAACATTATTTGTTCAAACTTCTGAACAGACAGATTAATTTCATAGTTTTGAATCATTTTACACGTATATATTTGTCTTTGTCAATTATTCCATTGTAACCGTGATTGTTTTTATATGGGCGTATGTGTGGATATGTCTACTAATATCCTTCCCTGTCCCATATAACTGTTTAGCTTGCTTTTTCTGTTTAACGATAAACGTTAGGTTACGTTTGGTTATTTCAGCCAATCCATTTCACATGCATTTTCCTTTATCTCTTATCGTTTGTCTGGATGACTGAATTCTGAAATATATGTCCATTGAATAATTTCGTATTCGACTTTTTATATCTACGTTGTCGTTAACGGGATTTAATGACAGAATATATATGAAATCAAATATTGCATATATTTCGTTGACATCAAGATCGTCCAATCGTTATGCAGTCATCAATAAGCGTAAAAATATTGATGATTAGACTCTTCAGCTATTATCGAAGTGTCTGTGTCATCTTACGGGTTAGAAAATATAACGTTGGTGAGAGTTGGTGGGCTTTAAGCAGTATGATGTAAAGTTTTTGAGAAAGTAGTAGCATATTACACATAAACCATAAAAAGTGCTTTTGTAGGTGAAGTTATTTAGCATATTAGGCGAGTACTGTTTTAAGTCAGATGGTGATAAAAGAACACAACAACATTGAAATGATGGTGTTCACCAGAATGTCATTTGTTTAATTGCCAGTGGTTAACTAGATGCACAGTTTGTTATATAAATTAATATTTTGGTATTGTTTAAACCGCCATGGTATATTATGACATTAAATAAACGCCTATCATAAATAGGTTTGGTGATATTTGGAATAACATATCTTTCAAAAGAATCGATTTAATGAATTCACTTACTGCGTAACAATACACAGAATTGACTATCATTGTTTGCTTTCTACTCTTCGAGACGTTTATAGCTAGATATTTTTGGAGTAAGAAAATCCGCGAAATATTTCATTTTTAATTATTTGTATCTCCGTTGTTTTAACGCATAATTAACAATTTTTAGGTTCAGGGTCTTGGACCTGAATTTACTTTGATTTGTGAGATAGTTCAAATAAAAAGCAATACAATGTCAACTTTGAAGGGTTTGTATATTTTAATATTATTCAATGCTTCAGTTTATCAAGTGAATCCGGTTTTGATTCCAGTAAGTTGAACTTTTATTCAATTGGTTAAAGCTGGATTTCAAATAAATTTTTAATAATATCACATACATTTTAATAATTTCGGTACATCGAAAGTTTGAGACACTGCTTTCTTAGGTGATATGTAAGCTTCTGCAATATTCATCTCTTTAACCCAACACGAGAATAAAAGAAGAAATATTTTGGAAGCTTTATTACCGAGTCAGATTTAGTTATGAAAATCAGGGGATATTTATACGATTACCGGTAATTATGCTGTCCTAGAAACGTTAAGAAAACATAATTATGATAATAATCGTTTAGATTATTGACCAATCATACTAGGAAAGAAATTAAATGAGTTGGCTTCTAAACGTTCTTAAGAATTTTTCACTAAAACTGATCGGATATATGTAAATTCAGGCATTTTTCGGCTTTCACATAACATATATGATCAGTCTTAGATGTCCCTTAACATTTTGTAGATTAAATGTTGAGATTCTTAGGTATTTCGAAAATTTAGCTTATATTAAACAAACCTTGATTAGTACTTGAATCCGTTTGAGACACTTAAATCTTTGGTTGACTTTAGAAGGAGTATAGAATACCTAATGTTTAATAGTTTCAAGTTATGATGGACAACTACTTTTTATTACTATTTTGACTAAAAAAAATTTTCTGTATTAACTAATCGACTGAATTATTTTGTCTGAAATTTATACCACTCGATTTTTAAAGACAGTCAAGAGATTGGATAAAATGATCATGCTTTTAATTACCGCTTTATTATATTCAATATTTTTTGGATCAAAACTTTCACAGACCTTTGTCTTAACTGTAAATTATTTGTAATGCTAGGTGAACTGAAGCTCCCGAAAATAGATGTTCCTAATGTCATATAATCAATCAAAAGAAAGGGCAATGAAACGTTACTGTCGACAAGTTGTTTACCTTTAGCAACAATCATCTTTTTACCTTACAAAAATAGAATTTTTGCTAATTAATTTACCCACTGTGGCCCATTTTAGCATCAATTACTGGTCTATGTATCAATATCTATCTCATTTTTTATTAGAGTTGCACAGTTTGACTAAATAAATTCATAATAAAAAAAACGAAAATAATCACAGGTTTATTATATACACGATATGTGATCCATTTATCAAAACCGAGATTTGATAGGGGGTTAGATGATTCAGCCCAATCTATTTAAAACGTAATTAAATCCACACTGTTTGTGATCTTTGTTAATAACTACTTATTCTGGTGTTTTGTTATTAATCATCCCAGTTGGCTACAATTTATCCTTGTTTCAAATACCGTTACACTTCTTCCATCACTTTGATTCATGAAACATTAAATGAAGAAGAAATAAAGGTTTGCAATCAAAATTTTGTACGGTTTATAATATTTTACCTTTTCTTGTTGATATTATATATTTTGATAACTCGTAAGTAATAAATAATATGTGAAAGGCACAACTTTGATTCAGGATTGTAACTATACTTTCACATGTTATCATTGTTTCTTCGATGAACTTAACTGGATATGTTACATTGACATTACTGCTAATAGATTTTTAACTGTTTGTATGAGTATTTAAGTGTACAGCCTTAAGATTAGTTTTTTTAATACAATTTTATTGTAATAAAAAGACGAAGATTATCAGAACTATGTGGTATATTAGCGCAATACATTTCGAACAATCTGACCACGCATATACTTGTTAAGACCATTTATATATAAAAATAAAAGGTCAACTAGACTGGAAATGGGGTAAGAGGAGACAAAGATAATAATAAGGGTAATGATAATAATGTGAACACAATTCGAAGCCTAATCACGCCATAGTAATCAGATTGTTCGAAGCGTATTGCGCTAATATATCACATAGTTCTGATAATCTTCATCTTCCTATTACATGGTCGAAATTTATCAAAGGGACTAATTGCTTTAAATTTTATTGTAATTTATTGTTGGGAAATAAATTTAATGATAGTGCATATAATGCGTTAGGTGTATATGATTTTGATAATATGCTGTTAACTATACTTCAAACATAACCTTCATATTGGATAGGTTATCATGTCTACTTTTTATTTTACAAATGCAATACATCATTATAATCTCAAATAATAATAATATGGCTCAAGTCTGATTCATCTAAGGATTTTTCATAAATTCACACTACGGTATGTTTGAAATAAAATTAACATAGAATAGTATACTTTGTTATTTCAGATTTTTTGTTATAGGTTGGTTATTAATACTAATGCTTAGACTATTAAAAGGAGTCTTCAAAATAAGACTTCGAAATGGGTGACTTAACTATGAAGTGTTTAGCTTGACAGTTTTTCTAAGGGAGTCTAATTTCTTTCCATCTGGAAACTTTAACATGTATAATATAATTGTTATCTGATTATATATCATTGTCATATTCTATCAACGTTTAGGTAATATGATCACAAACTAAACTTAACCATTTTATTTGCACTCACCTGTAAACCCAGCTTAGTACTCTGAAGTATTTTTTTATTTTAGAAGATATCTTTCAAATTAAGTAGTTTAACCACTTATTTAACGGTCTGTAACGGAATGTAACGCTTTGACTGTCTAGTTTCAGAGTAGCTCATTATCACAGTCCACCATATGAATGTTCCTATTAAGAGTTTTAAGGATAGCAACTATAATCTTAAGCATGACATGGAGTTTAAGACTTGCGAAACTTATTCAGATACATTACAAAACCTTCAACTGTTTATCTTGGCCTCTTGATTCATATTGTTCGATGCGATAGTAGACCTTTTATTAATAGAATTTAGAAAGGTAATAGCATTTCATCCTTACTTTGAAACATTGCATATCTGCAACTTCAAGTTCTTACAATCGGTCTGGAGTATTAAGCTCAGTAGCTAAAATAATTTTATCATACTTGATGTATTACTGTAAGTTGTGTGAACTGGTATTTTGTATATAATGTAGGAATCTTCTAATCCGCTTGCATCAGTATATCTAGAAATATATTCGCAAAGGTATTTAGCGTCCATCAATCACTTTTACAAAATTTCAGTGCAAAATCCTTTTATATTTTATATTTCTAACCACTATTATAGTCAAATATCTAGCAGTTCTTAGCTTAAGTCCATTTTTGAAATGACTTAACCTTAGCCTTGAGTTGTCGATATAGGCCACGTGCAAAAGACATTTTATTGACCATTTTAATCACAATTTTTGAGCCTTTAGTATCTCTAATGCTTCTTATTTTATACTACAGGTTCTTGTTATCAATAAGCAGAGTTCTAATCCAATAATTTCTTCTTCAGTGAAAATGCCAATCAGTGAGCTATCGATGGGATAATTTAATGATGTTAAACTGTTAGAAATGTACAGATATCCCACTCTTGTTAATAAATTTTTATAGCTAGTAACTTTTTTCTGAAGCCCGAGATACAGGCAGGAAAGTTAAATGTTACTTGTTCACATAATATCATAAATACCTTCGTTACTTCAGAACTTGACAATTTAAACACACAAAAGGTAGCGAATTAGTTTATAAGAATAGTAATGATATTTTGAAATACCGACAGATTTATATTCTGTTGAAATAAAACGTCATGAATATTCAAGTAGTAATATAGACGCAAAAGTATGCAGTTAGTTATCCCTCTGCCCCTAGTATCGATATGTCTCAACTGCATTCCGTTGTAATCGTGACGTGGTCCAAAGTGGGGATACACTTTTATCAATTATGTTTCCATCTACGGATTTAAATTTCATTAAAATCTTCTTGTCAATTAGCACTCTGCGTGTTGCTTCTAATTCAACGTTCATTATGACATTCCAAGTTTCATCTGCAGAACACATGACCATAAAAACAGTCAGCAACAATACTATTCAGCACTGAGCTGGTGTGATTAAGCGTGGACACTATTTTTAATAAAGTTTAGTCAAAATAACACAGGCGTCTTACTTTCTGAAATAACTTTCATTGATTCACTCATCTACAAATGACGTAGAAGGCCTTTGAAATTTTGTCATATAGTAAATTCATTTCATCAATCTTTCAAACAATGTCAACAAAGAAGCGTTCCCTTTCATAATTATATTGAATTGTTGTTACTTAGTTGCTTTAAAATCTAATAAAAGTAATGAATCCTTCAGCAGACCAGCACCTGTAGTTTCTTGATTAGACATATATTCGCTATTTAATTGAAATATTTTACTGTGATACTAGATGTTTCTCAGGTACCGAACCTTTAACCATCCAATTTGGTACTGTCTTACTAGCTTATTATTCGAAATCTTGTTCGGGCATCCATTTTGCCACAGGAACGTTGTAGTGAATAGGAGCATTGAAATAATATTGAATCCTGTCCTAACTATAATATCCGTCTTCCAAAATATGACCACCAGATACGACTCATCTTAAGAATATTGTGATGGAATATGATAGCCTGATGGGATGTTTGCACACAACAGTGGTCCCTTTGTTCATTATTCCGCAGCTAATTTGACTACCGAACACGTTACTTTCAACTATGTTCATAGGGTTCTCTCTCAAAGAAGTTTCATACACCACACAGAAGAACGTGGTATGTCATAATCAAACAGACCTAACTTTGTTAGGTAGTTTCTGCATTCAGATCAAATATTTAAAGTCTAGTCTCTGCATTGCTTCTTGTCTGGATTTATTCGATTTCCATATTAGAATCAAAATTAATTAGATACTCTTTGGCTCTTATTATCACTATTACACATTAGTGAATGTTACTAGGCTAACTACAACGACCGGTTGTGAAAGTTCTACATTATATCCTTCATGTTCCTAATTGTAGTTCTATTATTCAGGTACCAACTTTTAAATTTTTCTGCCACGTTGTTTTAATTGTTATATTCTCTGTCAACGTACATGTTAACCTGGCTTGTATATGCGTTGCGTTATGTCATCACTATGCCATTTGAATTTAGCAAGCATTTGAACCGCCTTTAACACTTCCCATTGAACCCATTAGAGTCGTTGTTGTTATGCGTATTTGGGTTTGTTGATTGAGCTATCATATTAGTTGCCTAGAAAGATTTCTAACGTAGTTAAGATAGTAAAGCCGCCGCACCAAGATATTAACATAATGCACTGGTATAATAACAAAACTATCACGTAGTTGTTAGTCAAACAAGCGTTTAAAAGCAAAACTATGGAGCCTTCTACGAAATGAACACTAAGTGTACAAATATATCTGGATTGCAGTTTGGAATTTATTTACACAACTCGGATTCGTTTACGCTACAATCTGATATTTCCGAATCACCGAAAACAACAACACCTATTTCCCATTGTTTGATCACCAATCAACACCATAACTAGTTATTCATAACAGTTTATGCATATCGTCTTAAAGCATTGTCATAACTTGACATCCGCGCGATATGATTGATAAAATTTATGGAACTACTAACACAAACCTTGTCAACAAGTTGACTTAAAACTAACATTATATAGTAATGTTTCCTCGTGGTTATCTTAATAAGGGTGCTTTCTGTGTTTCTTTGACAGCTGCTCATTTAGCAGGCATCTAGGAACGTTGTCAACTTGACTGAAAGTTTAGCGACGCAATCGTTTACACGAATCAGTATTAGCAGTCGTGGTCATCCTTGTGTAACTCATACCTTTTCACATTAAACATACCATTTTATCCTCAAGCGAAATATGTTCTTTAGAAGTATCAAACAGTACATTGCTGATCGTCACAATAGAACGCGTCGGTATGGACAATGACATAACCTCCACGTAAGATCCTACGACAAACCTTAAACTTTGGCTTTAGATCTATCGTTATAACGGCAAATACAAATGTACTAATATCGAACATGCACCGTAGGTCTACAGACCAATTAGCTAAACAAATGCTAGCACCTAATTATTCGGTCTATAATTATTCTATCAACTCAAATAATCAGTCTTAATTACACTAAGTAGATAAATTGATAGCGGATACAGCATAGTTATGGATTCGCAAAAGTAAACATCCCTATCAATTCAGGAATTTTATCTTTTCTGGATGGATAATTTAAGGTGAGATTTAACCTTATTGAAATGTTATATTATATATATATATATATATATATATATATATATATTATATTATATTATATTATATTATTAATTACTTGTTGAGACACTGACCGTTTCTAGTTCTGGGGAGGGGGTGCTTCAGTCAACCATCAGACAATGCACAGCTGTAGTCATTTCAAACAACACAATAAAAAAGGAGAAGTGAATCAATTCTGCAACCGCCATAACCGTACTTTTAATTGACAACGTAGGTGTCGTTCGCACTAATCATAGACATTCGATGGAAATATATAGGAAATGGAAGCTGAAACAAATAGCAATTATCGACAGTTTCACCTAGAATCGAAAGATAAATGGAATATACAGCTGAAGAAATCAAGAACAACAGGTTGACTTTTAAAATTAATCATCAAGTTGCTTTGCAAAACTGTGTGTAGAGATTTTTCCTACAAACTCAAACAAAGCTTCCAGATGAAACATTACAGTGTATATGATAACACTAGTGACGTCAGGACCAGTGTTGAAGGCTTACGAAACCATTTTTCATACATTTCGTTTTACCACCACAGTTCACTCCCCTTCTTCAGGGAAGCGTGGACCCTTCAATATAACCATATGGAAGGTTGATGTCAACGAGGCTGTCGTTAATAAACGCTCCTCTGATAGCTTACTACGTCAAGCATCATCTAATCATTATTTCCTACCTAAAAGACACAGGTGGTGAATGATGAACTTATCCAAAAATAAACATCTTTATGTTTTGTATTCATCTTCATTTTTTAATTTTGTCATTCATCCTGGAATAGGAAGAAATAAAGTTGCGAGTGCGTACTCAGTACACTCACGCTTACGCAAGCAATCAAATCGTGAGAAGAAAAAGACAATTATGCGTTCGTATGTCGCAAAGCAAAAAGGTTGATACCAAAAAGCACAATAAGAATATGCTTATCTTCTTTCTATGAAAATATGTATAACCACGACCCGAAAATGGATATTTTGCAACTTTTGTTATTATTACAATAAAAATTAAAGGTATAACTGATATTTCATACACATAGTTCCCTTTATCATTTTGAAAAGAGCAAGAACAAAGATTCTAGCAGAATAACATGAATTCATTTTATTTCGTAGGTTCTCGTCAGCTGCTTACAACCTATAGTATTTAAAAGATAAAAATTACATAATGGGTTTGAATTGCTTACATGAGAGGGTTTATATTTAAGAGATGTTCTTAAAGTATGACATGGGTGTAAATGAAATTAATAGGCTGAATACTGTAAATATATACCCAATGTGAAGGAATATTCTAGAGCATTAATTGTGACAACATTTCAAAAGTGGGTTAGAAGCAATTGATTACATAATGAATAAACATTGATAGGAACATAGTGAGTAGAGTTCAGTTGAAAGACTATTAATTTTTTAAAGATAGTTGAAAAAATAAAATCAATGACGTAATAAATATAAAAAATAAAATTTTATTTTTAAGCTGCCGCGGAAGAATATTTGTCACCAAGGCAGGGAAAGATTAACAATCATCTCCTTCTGAACATATAAATCAGGTTTTTGGCGCCTGATAGCAACTGCTTCAGCAAACTTCAGAAGACTGGAGTTTGGCTGCTTACTAATAACCTTGAATGATTGTAGGGTATCAACCTGATGGCCTGTGTCAAGCAGATGTTTAGTGATTGCGCTACTTAGAGTCTTTCTTTCTCTTATTCTGAGGTTTTTTGGGACATGTTCAAAAAATCTGAGGTATGCTCTCCTTTCTGTTCGGCCAATGTAGCTGCTTTGGCAGGTACATGTAAATTTATAAATACAATTGGCGGTAACATGAAAAGGATGCTTATCAACCTTTGATTGAGTTAATGAACATGTTGTTTTATAAAGAATTTGAAGTTTCGCCGCTGGATAGGTTCTGGCTAGCGCAGTATTTAGTCTCCTGTTGATTGTGTTAGCAACATCGTCACCTTTGAAATTAAAACTTATAGTTATTGGTTTTTTATTGACAGTAATTACTTCAGTATTATTTTCTTTACGCTTTTCATATTTTTCAATAAACTTTTGTGGGTAATAGTTGTCTCGTATAACTGATAATCTGTGGGATGAGAAAAAAAGAGATAGTAGAAACAAATGTGAAACTTGACTACACGCTCTGGTCGTTTAAGTCTTTGAGAGTCTGACGGTTCTTCAAGAAAAAGTCATTTTATCCCGATTATTATATACTGGCAGACTTTCGTCTCGATTTTCAATCATATGGGATCCCGTCGCTGTAGTGAGCAATGTGT